CTGTCTGGTTTTCCTGCATGTGTTGTTGTTGTATAGGTAAATGATTATATTGTGTTATTAAGAAATGTGCAGTTTTTTGTTATCTTTTTCTGCTTTTTGGTTATATTTTTGGGTTGTAGTTTTGAAAATTTTGTCCATCTTTCATAAATTTTAATGAAAATCAAGACCCAATTCGATTCTTCTGTTTTAGATCTATAGGGTTACCGGTTGGACTATAAGAATTGCGTCTTTGTTAAATTCAGAAATTTGAGATGCTCTTTGCTTCTCTGTTTCACCTCAAATTCTTCTTTGATGTTGCCGTTGATTTTTAATAAAAACAAGTCAGCACCGTAAGTGATTGCATATACGCTATTAGTTTGTCTAATCAATACAATAAGCCTATCATTGGTGTACTTGCGTATAAGTAGCAATATCATTCCTTTAAACTTATTGATTCTAAGCTCTTGGGATGTCCCACACAATTTTTTTCCGTTGTTCGAGTTAGATTTGAGAAGAGGTAAAACAGGCTAAAGTGTTTGACACTTTCAAGACATAGTTCAACAGTGGTTCAATCTTGAATGTATCATTTGAAGTGATTCTCGGTATGTGCAGGGTTCTTTACTTTGGGCATTATAATCTATTCCTCAAAAGGTCTTCGGTTAAAAGAGCACAAAACTATGATAAAAGATTATAAATCTTAAGCCACAATTGAAGTCACAAAACTAGACTATTCCATTATAGTACAAAAAATCTTCCATTTTATAGATTTTGCTGGGACCATATTTATATATATATATCTTGGCCTTTGTGTAGTTGTGGCTGATAGTTTGTTGCATTTACTTATATTACTAGCAGTGATAGTAGTTTGATTATTGTGATCAATATACTGCCTTAGAGCTCATATAGTTTTTCAGAGTATTATGATATATGAGCTACTTGAATTATGTAAAACAACTACGTTTGTCCTTTTCATGTATTAATTGATGCATTGGAGGTAGTTTGGAGATAGTTCTCTGTACAATCAATCAGTTCTTAGTTTACCAATAAAGAGCTGAATGATGAAGGAACTTCAAGTCAAAGTAGTGCTAGTCTGCGGTCATTTTCCTAGACGAACCACAAGAAGATTTGTGCTTGTGTTTTCTTTGCGAACTTAAATTATAAACTCCACAACTTTACTTGTATTTGTGTTTATGAATTTGTCTCTGCTTAGGCCGACCTCGGAAACAATAGCTATTTACCTAGCCTTATCAGCCTTGCACTTGGTTCTTAAGTCATTATATTGAAGTAATTGTACACTTGCTTTCATGTATGTACATACCTCCTATTTCAAGCAACTGTGATTTGATTCTTTTTCCAATCTTGTAATTTATGAATAATATTTTTTCTTCTTCTCTCATATGTATCAGGTCTTAATCATTTGATCAAAAATCAAAATAACTCAATCTGCATCTCAACTAACTTTATATACAATGTATCACATTTTGTTATTATGTAAAATAAGTGTACATAACTATCTTGTAAAACTTAGTTCCTTAAAATATCAACAAACGAAATGATTAATATGCAAGGTTTTCTTACGCTACATACTTGTAATCCAACTTTTAATTGATATCAAGTTATGATATTTATTATAGAAATCATTTCCT